ATTAATTCAGTAAAATATAAAGCATTTTATTTAAATATCCATTCATTATTTTACAAGCACAGAGAGCCGCGTCAGATTCAGATCAGCGGGAAGATTCCTCTGAATGAATTCAGTCGGAGGAATCTTCCCGCATGCGCTCTGGTTCTGCGACGCGCTCCAAGCCCCTCTGCACATCTTCAGCTCGCTGTGTACCTTATGTAGTACACGCTGACAGTGAGCTGCGCTGAGCAGTGTCCAGCTCAGATGTTCAGATGGGAATCTTTTCTTGGGTGATTTAGCTACATCTGCGATGTGCGTAGAATAAAATGTCAGTTCGTCTGCATGCGTCGGGGCAATTCTTTCTATTCTTTCTCCTTCAAAATAAACGGTCAAATACGGGAACTGTCCGGTCAACACAACACAAGCCCCCCTGCTTTTAACTGTTCTGTTTTCTTGTGAAAATTGTTGCAAAGAGATATAATTTAACTTGATTAACACCAGAGCCAGGCGCACTGCGCCGTTATCTCCGTCACTGTAAATGAGGGAAAAACAAATTGGTCGGATCCTTTTCTGACCTTCCCCACTTACAAAGTTTAATTACAACAATCAAACATGATAGAGCCTGGATTTTTATTCTGAACAGTCTAAACATGTTTTAAAAAGAAACGTATGACAAAAGTGGCACCTGCTCAGTAAAACCACCAACAGGGTGAAAAATATCAAAATGCTGTAGGCAGAGACGGGCTACAACTTCTGGATCCATTTTATATAAATCGTTTTATTGATTATCGTCTTATGAAAGATAACTTTGACGTACACGAGCGACCGGTACTGGCTGCTGTCACCTGTTGTGAGCAGCTCTCTGCTGTCTGAGGGTAGGCCCCGCCCACAACGCCCGGCTGCTGTGGCTCCCAGTGTTTTCTTTACTGTGGGAAACAGGTAATAATGGCTCTTTGATGGGAACAGGTTGCTGACCTCTGGTTTAGGTGTTTCAATTTTTTTTAATGAATTCGATTAAAAATAAAGGAGCCCGGCCCGTGTCCGAGGTAATTACACAGTCATTGGCCCGAGGGCCGTCGGGCCGGGCCGACCTGAGGGCCTAGGGCTTCAGTGCAAGGCTCTACTACAAGTTATGGCATGTGTCAATTCAGATACCATAAAATATTCAACAAAAAATCAAGATGCTGGAGGCTGTATTCTGAGAAGGTGGCAAAAGTCTACTACATCCCAGAGATCCAAACCATGATCGTCAACCAACGTTTGACAAGCAAGAAAGGTCTTCCTCGACGCTACAAGCTAAGGCCTGAGGATCCAAGGCGTTACGGTTTGCTGTCCGGAGTCCCTGCACCATCAACAGAGGAACTTCTACAACACCTAAGGACTCGTGGTGATGGTAAAATAAAACATTATCTGCCTTACATCTTCCACACAATAGTCTATTGCTGATTGAGTTTATTTTTTATTTACAGGTAAAACTTTGCCACAGACATAGGTGATGGGGGAGGCAAGAGAAAACCCAAAACCTTCTTTATTTGTGTTTCCTGTTTTTTTTTTTGTTTGAAAATAAAGATATATTTTGGGGAAATAAGGACTAATAATTTAAAAATGTATGTAAAAGGCTGGAGGTAGACTTAAGTTTTTGTTGTTGTGCAGGAGTTTTAACATTTATGGTATTTTTACAAATGCAACAGAGAGTTATGCTTTAGAACACTTTATTAGAGCATCAAACAAAAATATATAAAAAACAAACTTATGTAAAATATCAAATATATACATTTATTTACAATCGTCTTGGAATAAAACCAGTGTAGTTACCATTGGGGTCAGGGAATTTTTCCCTTATCCTCCAGACCACAGCTTGGGAATACTACTCTGCACCCTCCACCAAGTTTTCCATGCTGCCATGCTACAAACTGTCTGTAAGCTGCATGGCGGAACTGTCTGTTGTCCTCACTAGGGTCCGGGTCATCATAAACTGCTCGAAACTCATTCCACAATGTTCTGGCCAGGCGAAGAACACCATTTTGCAGAATAAACTCCTCCATGTGTGGTACAGTTGAAATACATGTCTGGGGAGGCTGTTGGCAGCATTTCTTTTCCAAATCAGTTGGCATATCTCTGCAGTGGGAGCATACACACTATGAAGGTTGATTGGATGTTGGAGGTGTTGTGGCAGGTGGACCAGAGAGGGCAAGTACATCAAAGAGAACACCAGGGTCTCTGTCCAGCACCATGGTAAGGATGTCAATAGCCTGCTGAGGGTTCAGGTTCTGTATGTGTTGCTACAAAAGTGGAAAGAGATGCTACAGCAACAGTTTTTAGGATAATTTAGTGTAATTTTGTTATGCTTACACGTTCAAAGTCTTCGCTCGGAACAAAGATTCCGAACTCGAGAGAGATCTTCATCTCCAGGGTCCACAGCTGAGTGTCTCACACTTCTTCGGCCTCTGGATGCACCGCGGCCTCTAGACACACCACGGCCTCTGGATGCACCGCGGCTTTGAGATGATGGTGGGCATCTCCTTTTTGCACCACGTCTTGAGGATGCAATAGAAGGTTCAAACTCTTCCTCAGAGGATTCCTCTATCACTGAACTCTAAAGTGTATTAGAATAAAAAAAATTATACTAATATAAAAAGTACTCTTGCATATTAATCAATTTTGACACAGATCAGGTTTACATCTAGTCAAAATTTGGGCTAAACCAACAATAAACAGAAATTATGAAAACAACCATGATTATAGGAGGACTACACAGAATGCAGTGTTTATTCATGATTTCCACATAAATTATTTATATGCTTTGATATATTCATCCCATCTTGAATGGCAAAGCAATTAAAAATAAGCTAGTTACTTGTAATAAAATGCTAACAATTTGATAGGATTAATTTTATTTACAATATAGATTGCCAACTGTTACTGGTATTTTAAAATATATTTATAGATATTCTTTATAAAATGCCTTTTGTAAACAGTAAGTGTTTAATGTGCTGGTTAAATACAACTTTCTTACCTCAGATAACTCCATTGCTAACACTAGCTCAGCTCTATTACAAGAAGCAATGCTCCGATGTTGACTCTGCTTTTCCTGCACGTGCACATTGGGAGGCGTGGCTTTCGGCTCTTTCAGGAAGGGCGGGGGAGTGAGCAACAGCCGTTCGAATTTAAAAATCTCCTCCTCCTTAGGCCGGGGACACACTGGCCGCGGAAGCGCCGCGAAGCGCCGCGAAAATGGGACCGCCTTCATTCGGCGCCCTTGTTAAGCTACTCTATAGACCACATGGGCCGCCGAAGCGCCGCGAATCGCCTCGCGCCGGCGCGCGCCGGCGCTCCAGCCCGCGCCGTGCAGCGATCATTTCGGCGTTGGCTCTATTTTTTTCGCGAGCCGCGGGTGAATCGCGTCAATTCTGGCAGGAAGTCAAACGTAGACATAAGAGGCAGGCCGGTAAAGTTAACAAAATAAAGCATTTCAAAATAAAATTCCGCAATAGTCAAATGTGTTCGTAAACAGACACTGCAGAAAAACCACACGAACACGCACACACATACACACACATCGAACTTGTGTGCGTGTGTGACCACGTGAAGGGGGGAGTGGTTTTGGGTGTCTTTTCACCGGAGCAAACAGGACAGAGAGGCAGAAAGTCTGAGGCAAGCAGTTAGGATGGATGACTTTAAATTAATTATGGAAGTTGAGAAACACAAGGAGCTGTACGACCCCCGAAAAACATGATTGTTTACGTACCCATGTCGGAAGAAACTGCTAGGATACAGCTGCAGAATTGGAGCGGGTTCCAAGAGATTCAACTGGCAGAAACAACTCATACCATAGGTTCACACACACACGCGCGCGCACGCGCACAAACACTCAAACGTAGGAAAAGAGCTGAGAAAAGGCAGAGAGGAAATGGAGGACACCAAGTGTTTAAAAGAAAAACTACAGCTGAGCCGAGGCGCGCCTCGACTGGGGCGCGTCTGATCTGAACTGAGGAGCGGCGAGCAGCGGCCGAATTTCGTGAGCGATTCGCTTCTCGGCGCTTCGCGGCGCTTCCGCGGCCGGTGTGTCCCCGGCGTCACCCTGACGGCGTCATCCTGCGGACTGTGCCTTTGAGGTAACTGTCGTTTTGTAAGACGCCTGGCTGAGAAGACTCGTCCCTCTTTTCGAACTTAAACAAAGAAAAAATGGTGAGAATTTATAAATAGCTTTGCTTATAGAGTGGCATAGTGGTTTGACCTCCACTTAGAGCTAATGAAGCATCGTTATCGTGAATGTTAAAATAAAAAGGTAACTGCTTTAGCCCAACTAAACTTACATCTAATATAAAGTCAAATGTTGGTTCTCGTGGAAGGGGTTTTGGTTCATTTAGGTGGTGGCGCGCTAGCTAAACAAAAGAGCATTTCAAAAGTGACAATGTGCGTCACTTTTCGGCGCTTCTGCCCATCCATCACCCGCGGACTGCAGTACTTTTTCTGCTCGGCATGGCTAACTTACATAGCAACTGTTGACTCTTGTAGAAAACAATGGCTGTTATAGATCAAAACGACCCACATCCTTAAAGAAACCTTATCCGCTGGGGAAATGGTTGAAACGCGCTACCAGAAAGGCACTGCTCATTAACCCTTACCCAACATTTAAATTTTCTAACGTTAGTCATTCGAGCACAAAAAAATGCTCTTATGTGAGGTAAGGGTGAAAAATGCACACGAGTAATGGCTGACTCCGTAACAGTCAGGACTGGGTTGTTTCTGGTTTTTCTTCATGGGTCACTTGAATAGAGTTTTCAATCAGTTTTTCTGGGTTCAAACTGACGTTAGCACTCTCCTGCGTGGAGGGAGCGTTGCCTAGCAATGAGTCTCTAAAGCGCGCCATAGAAGGCTTTTTTGCCCTCAGACGGTTTTGATGCTGCTGCTGATATTTATTCGTTTTTATCAATACTTAAACATGCTCAAATACATTTGTTAAACATAATATGTATATTTTGACATCATTAGAATTTAATGCGTGAAACTGAAGTTATTGTATTTTTTCCAGATCCAGCGTGAGTGCATCGCCATCCATGTAGGTCAGGCTGGTGTCCAGATTGGCAACGCCTGCTGGGAGCTCTTCTGTCTGGAGCATGGAATCCAGCAGGACGGGCAGATGCTCAGTGACAAGAGCATTGGAGGTGTAGATGATTCCTTCAACACATTCTTCAGTGAGATTGGAGCTGGGAAGCACATCCCCAGAGCAGTTTTCGTAGACTTGGAGCCTACTGTCATTGGTAAGGGTTAGGGTTGGGGTTAGCGCTAATCCTTGTAACCTTAAGTGGCTTAACATGAGATTTTGTCAATTATACGCAAGTATTTTAAAATGAAAACTAAAAGTTTCCCTTTGTCTCCAGATGAGGTGCGTACTGGAACCTACCGCCAGCTGTTCCACCCTGAGCAGCTGATCACGGGTAAGGAGGATGCTGCCAATAACTGCGCTCGTGGATACTACACCATTGGCAAAGAGATCATCGACCTGGTCTTGGACAGGATCCGCAAACTGGTGAGTAAAGACATATTTTTACCTTTAGTCTGTAATAAATCTGATAAATGACTCATTCGTTTTCTGTGTCCTCAGGCGGACCAGTGCACCGGTCTTCAGGGCTTCCTGCTCTTCCACAGCTTTGGTGGAGGTACCGGCTCTGGTTTCACCTCCCTGCTGATGGAGCATCTGTCTGTGGACTATGGCAAGAAGTCCAATCTGGAGTTCTCCATCTACCCAGGTCCCCAGATGTCCACTGCTGTGGTGGAGCCCTACAACTCCATCCTGACCACCCATGCCACTTTGGAGCACACTGACTGTGCCTTCATGTTGGACAATGAGGCCCTCTACGACATCTGCTGTAGAAACCTAGACATTGAGCATCCCACCTACACCAACCTGAACAGGTTGATCGGTCAGATTGTGTCCTCCATCACTGCGTCTCTCCGCTTTGACGGAGCTCTGAATGTTGACCTGAAAGATTTCCAGACCAACTTGGAGCCTTATCCTCGTATCCACTTCCCTCTGACCACCTATGCTCCAGTCATCTCAGCTGAGAAGGCCTACCACTCGCAGCTGTCTGTGGCTGAGATCACCAACGCTTGCTTTGAACCAGGTAATCAGATGGTCAAGTGTGATCCTCGCCATGGTAAATACATGGCCTGCTGTCTGCTGTATCGTGGTGATGTCGTTCCCAAAGATGTCAACTCTGCTATTTCTGCCATCAAGACCAAACGCAGCATCCAGTTTGTGGACTGGTGTCCCACAGGCTTCAAGGTGGGCATCAACTATCAGCCTCCAACTGTGGTTCCTGGTGGAGATCTGGCCAAAGTACAGAGAGCTGTGTGCATGTTGAGCAACACAACAGCCATTGCTGAGGCCTGGGCCCGCCTCAACCATAAGTTTGATCTGATGTATGCTAAGAGGGCCTTTGTCCACTGGTATGTTGGAGAGGGAATGGAAGAAGGAGAGTTCTCAGAGGCCAGAGAAGATATGGCTGCCCTTGAGAAAGATTATGAGGAAGTTGGCACTGACAGCATTGGAGGGGAGGATGAAGAGGGAGAATAATTGTAAGCAGTTAAGCAATGCCACAATTCCAAAGCTCTACTTAACATGTTCTCAACTGTTCGTGAAGTCAGTTTTATGTAGCATTAAGTTCAGTTCCGTAACTTCACTTGTTCAGATCCTTGTTCAGATCATCAGAAAGTTGCTTTGCTTCATAATTCTCATGTGTGTTTTAGACTCTTATTGTGAAAATCTAAAGGAATCCTTCTGCAAATGCTGCATCAGAAGGAGTCTGAAAAAGATGCCTGATTATTATTTTGTTGTGACTTTGTTCTCAACATTTTGATTTTATTCTCACAGCATCATTATTTTGTTGTTGTTGTTGTTGAAAAGGTTAAAAACAATATTTACACCACAGAAGCAGCTAACAACCCTAACCTTTCTGTCCAGCTGCTGGTTCTGATCTGGTTTCATCTGATGATGAATGAATGAATAAATAAATAATAAACATCACATTATTTAAATTATTTAGTTGTGACTTTGTTCTCAACATTTTGATTTTATTCTCACAGCATCATTATTTTGTTGTTGTTGCTGAAAAGGTTAAAAACATTTACACCACAGAAGCAGCTAACAACCCTAACCTTTCTGTCCAGCTGCTGGTTCTGATCTGGTTTCATCTGATGATGAATGAATGAATAAATAAATAATAAACATCACATTATTTAAATTATTTAGTTGTGACTTTGTTCTCAACATTTTGATTTTATTCTCACAGCATCATTATTTTGTTGTTGTTGCTGAAAAGGTTAAAAACATTTACACCACAGAAGCAGCTAACAACCCTAACCTTTCTGTCCAGCTGCTGGTTCTGATCTGGTTTCATCTGATGATGAATGAATGAATAAATAAATAATAAACATCACATTATTTAAAAGACATAAACTTGAAAAGGTCAAACCTGGTTTAGTTGAGGGTCTGGCGGGTTTTTCTTTCTCCTGCTGAGACGTGGCGTTCGCTGTTCTGTGGCTCTGCAGTCGTGTTCTCAGTCTAATGGGATGCAGATGTGGTCCTGATGCTGTGGAAAGGGCATCTTAAACAGAAAATCACCTAACAATAAAACGAGAGCAGAATCCCACCTTTCTTACTGGCTTTGCTCCTGAAGGCTGAAGCTGCAGAGAGATGAAAACAATTATTCTCCAATCAGCTGTGAGTTCTCTGACATGACGGCATTTTTCAGCAAGGCTCGTTACACGCCGTCTTCTTCCCAGATGCTGATTTCCTCATGTGTTTTACAGCTGCAGGCGCTGATGGGCCCGATTATTTTGGAAATGAGGGTTTCACCTCAAGTCAAAGCAGATTTTTTCAGTCAGAAGACCTACCTTTCTGTGTAGCCGTTCTCTTTTTTGCAGGCATCACTGTGGAAAGCAAAGATGTAAAAAAATGTTTTCCCTTCTTCTGGTTTTTTTAGGAAAAGTGTCATTTTTTTTTACCTTTCTTAGCTGTTTTTTTTGTTGCCGGCTCTGCAAAGATTTTTGCCAAATAAAAAAATAATATTTGTACATAATGTTTATTGTTGTTTTATTTTTATTGGTTAACTTTAAAAATTACCTGTTCTTTCAACAGCAGAAACTTTTTTCTCTTTTCGCCGTCTTCTCTGTAGAAAACAACGTTTTCAAAAAATATGAAGAAATAAAATCAAATTGTTCCGCATTGTTTATCAGTAAAGTCTTTTAACCTTAAAATCGGAAGTTTTACCTTTCTTTGCCACAGGAACTTTGTTCTCTTGTTTAGCTGTGGAAAAAAACATTTTCAAAGATTTGATTTTATTATATTTTATTTGACTACTTTACCTTTCTGAGCTACAGCAGAAACTTTTGTTTTCTGTCGATTTGCTTCTGTGGAAATAAACTTAACAGCTGATGGCATTCAATGTAAACAAAATGTATTTGTTGTTAATTCTACAGATTCTTATTTCCTTATTTATTTGCTGATGAAACCATTAAGCGGCTCATCGGTTGCAGGAATTACCTCTCTTCGTTCCAACTTTAGATGCTGGAGACTCTGAGGAGAAAATCACAATAAAACAACCATGAAAGTGAATTTTCCTGAATAAATAAACGGTCCCAGAGCTCTTTGTGTCGTGTTTCTGATGACTGCAGCCTTAATTCACTGGAAGGAGAAGCAGAAGGTACCTTTGGCTGAGTCAGTGGATTTGGTTCTCTTCTTCACAGCTGAAACATAACGAGACATTAATTATTGTTTGTTGCTGTAATTAAGATAAACATCTTCGTTTCTACCTTTCTCAGAGAAGTCGGGTTTTGCTCCTGCATTTGTGTTTGCTTCTGAAAAAGGAAGAAAAATCATAGTTTTGTTAAATGTCCGAGGTCTTCTGCTGTCCCCTCTTTTAGCTCCAAGGCGATGTACCCGGTGAAATGTGATGTTTTTTACCTTTTCTTCGGGTTTATTCATTTCTGTCTGGAGAAAGTTCTTTATTGTTTGCTCGCAGTTCTCCGCCCCTCCCGCCTGCTCCGGCAGGCCTGCGAACACCAGATTATCCCTCATGCTGCGGGCCTGAACTTCCAAAACCGTCTCCTTTAGAGTTTTGTTGTCCTGGGCGATCCGCGTCATCCCTCTTCCAGGGAAGAAACGGACTCCCGCAGAGACGCGTTCTCAGCAGCGAGCCGCTCAACTTGCTCCTGGCTGAACTCCAGAGATGTTCGGAGGTTCTGAAACTCCTGGTGTAGAACCTCGAGCAGATGAAGTCGCCCCTCAAATCCCAGAAGCCGTTTATCAATAGAATCTAATAATTCTACTATGTCCTTCCAGGGAGATGAGGCCTCAGGCGAGTCCTGAGGACGGCTCCTCTTGGTCCCAGCAGGTGTTTCAGCCTCAGCTGCTGATTTCTTCGGACCCATAACGAATAACTCAAAAACTTTGTCAATATAATTTAACAAACTTCCTAATGTCCTTCACTTACCTCCAGATTGAGTGAGTTATACTTACCAGATGATATTTTTGTTGTCAGTAGTTAAATTAGGCAAAAATGCATCTAAATTGTTTGTGGATGTTTGCTAACGAGCTGCCATCAGCTTCAAAACGCTGCTGTGTCCGGTGATCGGCCGTCAGCGCATGCGCATCTCTCCACCCTGCCCCCCAGTTTTATTTGCACCTTATACACTTCCACTGACGACATTCCACACAAACACACACTTAGGGCCTTGGAAGTGAGCACATTCTATGACATTTGGCAGGGGGATTTCTCAGCCTCCTCCCGAGTGCCGGTGCCCACTTCCAATTTTAAACTGCACTTAGACACCGAGGGCTGTGGGTGCAAGTGGAGTGGTGCGGTGGCATCCGCTGGCATAGGCCAGACAATGCCTGTACTGCCCGCTCACCACAGCCGTGGAATACACCTCATCAACACACAACACTTAATGGAGCAGGCGGAGGGAGACTAGGGGTCTTAGAACACATCTGTTGTTGCTTGGCTTCCTGGGGCTGGAGACTAGGAGTGAGATCTGGCCGTCTGGTTGGGGTCTGGGGTGGCGGGTTGCTGTGCTCGGCATTGGGCGGGGGAGCCTGCTCATCAGCACCCCAGCAGAAGGGGTCAAACTCTGGTAACCGGTGATGGTTGTACCCAGTGTGCAGCAGTACCGGGACCAGAGTAAATAGGGTATGTATGGGGAGCATGAGTGGGTGTCCTGCGTGCATTTTTGTAAGTCTTTGGTTGTATGTGTATGTGTGAGCATGAGGGAGGGAGTGTGTGACTGTGTTTGTGTATGACTGTATATGTCAGGTGGGGCCTTTGACTCCTCCCCTCTCCTGGGACCTCCTTTGATGATATAGATCTTCGTCTCCCCTCCCCCTGCCACACCTGGTGTGGGGTGTGGTGCCTTGGTCTGCCTGGGTGTTCGTGGCTCCCGGGTCAGGGGGTTTAAGATCTTTGGCGCCTGCCTGGTCAATCCCGGTGGCTGCCTGGTGGGGTCTGGGTCCCTGGGCTCTGCTGGGTCCCCGGCGGGGGTGGTCGCCCCTCAGTCCCGGGCTCGGCCGGCTAGGGGGTGGGAGGCGGCGGGCGGGCCTATGGGCTTGCCGCTGATATCTCCCGGGATTCTGCCGGCTGCTGGTTGTGGCCCCCCGGGGCGATCCTCTGCGCCTCTCGATGGGGGCGGGGGGCCTTTCTGGTTGCAGACCCCTTGGGGTTCCTGTGTTCTGGGGCAGCGCCTGGATCTCTGGGACTTGGAGCTCCCCCCGTCTCCTACGCATCTTTGGGGGCAGATCTGTGGTCCCTCACACTCTCTATTGGGCGCTCCTATAGAGAAACCTTACATAAACAAGCGTGTGTACACACACAGGTGCTCACATGGTGCTCTCAAAAGTAGGGGCTTGGGCACGTTCAACACTTGTCTCAAGGCTGTCGTTGCCACTAAATGCACTATGATTTATTATCGTGTGATTGTTCAGTTAAACAATGTTGATTTTATATTTCAAATTTCATTGACGCAGTGATAGCTTGCTCCTGATGTATTGTTGTGTGTCCCATTTTTTTCTGCTCTTCTCTTTCTGCAGGTCTAGAAGCAGACTCTAGTTCATTATTGTTTATTTTTGTGCCCCCCCCCCCCCCCTCTTCCCACCATTTGTCTTTTCCTTTCTTTTTCACCTCTGTTTCCCTGTCTGGTCGGAATTACAAAGCATTCAAAAACAATAACAATAAAATTTCAAATATCAGGCGTGACATTTAAAGCAGACGCTTTGATGCTCCACCTGAGAATAAATCTGTAAGGCTTGTTACCAGCATTCAGACATCAATTCTGCTTGCTTCACAGCCAGACAGAGCACGGTAAAAGAAATAAAAAATAAAATAAGATAAGTATGGTAGGTTTCTGTAAAATGATTTGTTAAAAAAAAGACACAGTCTGACGTTTTTCAGCAGAAGACGGTGGATTACTTTGGTTTGTTTTCTGCATAGGAATCAAAGACATTCTGCACCATTCAGAGCCGGGTCAGAAGAAGAAGCACAACAACGTCAGTGCCGTTAGGAATCAGCTGAAGGCGATCAACTTTAACAACTTCCCGTCGCTGCTGAAGGCTTTCCAACATCACGTCAAGAAGGGGAAGGGAAGGATCGACAGAGACAACCTGCGATCCGTGTGTCGAGAGTTCCACCTGAACGTGAACGAGGTGGTTCTGGATGGCCTAATGGACCTCTGTGACACAGACAAGACCGGACTGATCAGCTTTGTGGCGTTTGGGAACTTTCTCACCTGGAAGGAGATGATGCCCATCGACAGAAGAGATCAGTACCTCCTGACAGGCAAGCATCCAGTTGACACTGATGGGAAACAAACATCAGCAGAACCTTTCTCTTCTGAATCCTTGATAAAGCCTGAGGACCTGGAGCCCATTAAGCCAGGCAGTCCTCTTAAGACCGTCAAGACAATCAGGACAGCCAGAACAGCACCAGGACACTTCTTGACCAGCACCTCCCTCATCGTGGCCAACAAGCTGCTAACATCAAACAGTCGCACCTACGGGATCCGATCTGAGCACTCAGCTCCACGCACCAGTAAGACCAGCGGAATCATCAGTAACAAGTGTACAGTTGCGGATCTTCCACATCCATCCATTTACGCTCTCCACGGCATCCATGAGGAGGACCTCAGATGTCCTCGCACCAAGGAGGAGATCGTAGAGATCTTCAGGAATATTCCTGAGGAGACATTTGACGAGGCGTGGAAACTGGCGACCATGAATCATCCTTTTACGACCCCCAGCTCGTCTAGGAGATGATGGTTTGAGGGCGTAAAGAAAAATGTGTGTAAAACCAGACCAAACCAAGATTTACTCTCTTAGAGGAGTTTATTAACTAAAAACACTGCTTTATGCAGGCAAAGGAACAATGAATACAAAACCAAAAGGATGTCCACACTGGGGAATTAATGATAATACAAAACACAAGGACCATCCAGGACTGGGCAAAGAACAATAATATTAATAAACACAAAACGCCGGGACTAAACCGGGAAACTAAGGGAATGAGTTAAACACAAAAAACTCAACCAGAAGGGTGAGCTGAACTCTTTAACGAGTAAGAATAAACACAAAAAGCTCCACCAAAAGGGTGAGCTGAACTCTTTAACGAGTAATAATAAACACAAAAAGCTCCACCAAAAGGGTGAGCTGAACTCTTTAACGAGAATTCTCAAGAAGACGAAAAGCGAGCTCTGAACTAGGAAGAATAACCAAACCACACAGGTTGCACAACGAGACTAAATAAGTCAGCTCTAGGAGGGAAAAGAGGAACACCAGCTTTAACACTCAGGCCTCTGCTAAGCTTCCCTCCTCGAATGACAGAGGGAGCTGGCTTTTAAAGGAAGCTCCCTGATCGGATAATGTGCGACACCTGGCTCAGCTGGAGCCAGGAGATCAGGAGGAGCACCGAGGCCATCTTGTGGCCACAAAACAGACAGCGTCTGTAACACATCCCAACGAGGAAGTGAGCATTGAGGTTTTGTGTACCACGCTGAAGGACATTAAGGCCATGTAGACCTTACAATGATAGATGCTGAACATGCAAAACAAGAACAGCAGACATTTTGTTAAATGGATCCCAAACAACGTCAAGACCGCCATCTGCGACATCCCTCCCAGAGGTCTCAAGATGGCCGCCACATTCATCTGCAACAGCACCGCCATTCAAGAGCTGTTCAAGCGCATCTCTGAGCAGTTCACTGCCATGTTCAGGCACAAGGCTTTCCTCTATTGGTACACAGGAGAAGGTATGGATGAGATGGAGTTCACAGAGGCTGAGAGCAACATGAATGATCTCGTGTCTGAGTACCAGCAGTACCAGGATGCTACTGCTGAAAAGGAGGGAGAGTTTGAAGAGGAGGGAGAGGAGGACCTGGCCTAAATTTGCTGTTATGAAGTTTAAATGTTTGTCGTACATTTCTGTTTTTCCAAGTTCTGATGTACGTGTTCCAGTTCTCATTTACTTTTCTATGGCGATGCCTCGGTAACGAAGCATAGTGCTCAAATGTTCATCGCTGTTAAGCTATGTCATGTTCTGAGGGCAGAATAAAGTTCTTAAGGTGCTTTGTTTGATCTTTAATGCTCACGTGCATTTACACCAGGGAAATATTTGGTTTTATGCTACACTGTAGATGGTCAACCTCTAAGCACGTCTTTGAGCTTCCCTCTGTCCTGCAACTTCTTGAATTTCGTATGGAACCCCCAAGTCTGTTCTTCTTTCCTTCTGACCAGCTCCACTGTCTTTGAGCTTCTGATTGTCCTTTATACTGGCCCCTCCTTTTATAGGATCAATTCACCGTATACCGGTTTTTCTCTTTTTTAGCTTAGTTTTAGCTCTAATTGGCTTTTAAAATTTAGTTTGGGCTCAGGAAAATTTAGAATTAGTTTTAGAGTGTCCGAATGTTTGTTAGGATCAGGCAGGGTTCAAAGGTCAGGGTAGGGTAGGGCATGGTTAGGGTTAGGATGGGTTAGTGGGTAGGGACTATTTGTTTTAGGTAGGGCTGTAGAAACCAACAATGAGGCGGTTCAGAACAAACCGCCAGCTGGTTGACCCCAAGGGCACGGGCTAGTTAGCAGAGCAACTGCAGGTTTAAGGGAGCCAAATTTAAGACTTTTTAAGACCTCTTTTGCTGCCATCTTCCGTGGCCGCATGTCCATGAAGGAGGTAGATGAGCAGATGCTGAACATGCAGGACAAGAACAGCAGCCATTTTGTTGAATGGATCCCAAACAACGTCAAGACCGCCGTCTGCGTCATCCCTCCCAGAGGTCTCAAGATGGCCGCCACATTAATCTGCAACAGCACCGCCATTCAAGAGCTGTTCAAGCGCATCTCTGAGCAGTTCACTGCCATGTTCAGGCGCAAGGCTTTCCTCTATTGGTACACAGGAGAAGGTATGGATGAGATGGAGTTCACAGAGGCTGAGAGCAACATGAATGATCTCGTGTCTGAGTACCAGCAGTACCAGGATGCTACTGCTGAAGAGGAGGGAGAGTTTGAAGAAGAGGGAGAGGAGGACCTGGCCTAAATTTGCTGTTATGAAGTTTAAATGTTTGTCGTACATTTCTGTTTTTCCAAGTTCTGATGTACGTGTTCCAGTTCTCATTTACTTTTCTATGGCGATGCCTCGGTAACGAAGCATAGTGCTCAAATGTTCATCGCTGTTTAGCAATGTCATGTTCTGAGGGCAGAATAAAGTTCTTAAGGTGCTTTTTTTGATCTTTAATGCTCACGTGCATTTACACCAGGGAAATATTTGGTTTTATGCTACACTGTAGATGGTCAACCTCTAAGCACGTCTTTGAGCTTCCCTCTGTCCTGCAACTTCTTGAATTTCGTATGGCACCCCCAAGTCTGTTCCTCTTTCCTTCTGACCAGCTCCACCGTCTGTGAGCTTCTGATTGTCCTTTATACTGGCCCCTCCTTTTATAGGCTCAATTCACCGTATACCGGTTTTTCTCTTTTTTAGCTTAGTTTTAGCTCTAATTGGCTTTTAAAATTTAGTTTGGGCTCAGGAAAATTTAGAATTAGTTTTAGGGTGTCCGAATGATTGTTAGGTTCAGGTAGGGTTCAAAGGTCAGGGTAGGGTAGGGCATGGTTAGGGTTAGGATGGGTTAGTGGGTAGGGACTATTTGTTTTAGGTAGGGCTTTAGAAACCAACAATGAGGCGGTTCAGAACAAACCGCCAGCTGGTCGACCCCAAGGGCACGGGCTAGTTAGCAGGGCAACTGCAGGTTTAAGGGAGCCAAATTTAAGACTTTTTAAGACCTCTTTTGCTGCCATCTTCCGTGGCCGCATGTCCATGAAGGAGGTAGATGAGCAGATGCTGAACATGCAGGACAAGAACAGCAGCCATTTTGTTGAATGGATCCCAAACAACGTCAAGACCGCCGTCTGCGTCATCCCTCCCAGAGGTCTCAAGATGGCCGCCACATTAATCTGCAACAGCACCGCCATTCAAGAGCTGTTCAAGCGCATCTCTGAGCAGTTCACTGCCATGTTCAGGCGCAAGGCTTTCCTCTATTGGTACACAGGAGAAGGTATGGATGAGATGGAGTTCACAGAGGCTGAGAGCAACATGAATGATCTCGTGTCTGAGTACCAGCAGTACCAGGATGCTACTGCTGAAGAGGAGGGAGAGTTTGAAGAAGAGGGAGAGGAGGACCTGGCCTAAATTTGCTGTTATGAAGTTTAAATGTTTGTCGTACATTTCTGTTTTTCCAAGTTCTGATGTACGTGTTCCAGTTCTCATTTACTTTTCTATGGCGATGCCTCGGTAACGAAGCATAGTGCTCAAATGTTCATCGCTGTTTAGCAATGTCATGTTCTGAGGGCAGAATAAAGTTCTTAAGGTGCTTTTTTTGATCTTTAATGCTCACGTGCATTTACACCAGGGAAATATTTGGTTTTATGCTACACTGTAGATGGTCAACCTCTAAGCACGTCTTTGAGCTTCCCTCTGTCCTGCAACTTCTTGAATTTCGTATGGCACCCCCAAGTCTGTTCCTCTTTCCTTCTGACCAGCTCCACCGTCTGTGAGCTTCTGATTGTCCTTTATACTGGCCCCTCCTTTTATAGGCTCAATTCACCGTATACCGGTTTTTCTCTTTTTTAGCTTAGTTTTAGCTCTAATTGGCTTTTAAAATTTAGTTTGGGCTCAGGAAAATTTAGAATTAGTTTTAGGGTGTCCGAATGATTGTTAGGTTCAGGTAGGGTTCAAAGGTCAGGGTAGGGTAGGGCATGGTTAGGGTTAGGATGGGTTAGTGGGTAGGGACTATTTGTTTTAGGTAGGGCTGTAGAAACCAACAATGAGGCGGTTCAGAACAAACCGCCAGCTGGTCGACCCCAAGGGCACGGGCTAGTTAGCAGGGCAACTGCAGGTTTAAGGGAGCCAAATTTAAGACTTTTTAAGACCTCTTTTGCTGCCATCTTCCGTGGCCGCATGTCCATGAAGGAGGTAGATGAGCAGATGCTGAACATGCAGGACAAGAACAGCAGCCATTTTGTTGAATGGATCCCAAACAACGTCAAGACCGCCGTCTGCGTCATCCCTCCCAGAGGTCTCAAGATGGCCGCCACATTAATCTGCAACAGCACCGCCATTCAAGAGCTGTTCAAGCGCATCTCTGAGCAGTTCACTGCCATGTTCAGGCGCAAGGCTTTCCTCTATTGGTACACAGGAGAAGGTATGGATGAGATGGAGTTCACAGAGGCTGAGAGCAACATGAATGATCTCGTGTCTGAGTACCAGCAGTACCAGGATGCTACTGCTGAAGAGGAGGGAGAGTTTGAAGAAGAGGGAGAGGAGGACCTGGCCTAAATTTGCTGTTATGAAGTTTAAATGTTTGTCGTACATTTCTGTTTTTCCAAGTTCTGATGTACGTGTTCCAGTTCTCATTTACTTTTCTATGGCGATGCCTCGGTAACGAAGCATAGTGCTCAAATGTTCATCGCTGTTTAGCAATGTCATGTTCTGAGGGCAGAATAAAGTTCTTAAGGTGCTTTTTTTGATCTTTAATGCTCACGTGCATTTACACCAGGGAAATATTTGGTTTTATGCTACACTGTAGATGGTCAACCTCTAAGCACGTCTTTGAGCTTCCCATTGTCCTGCAACTTCTTGAATTTCGTATGGCACCCCCAAGTCTGTTCCTCTTTCCTTCTGACCAGCTCCACCGTCTGTGAGCTTCTGATTGTCCTTTATACTGGCCCCTCCTTTTATAGGCTCAATTCACCGTATACCGGTTTTTCTCTTTTTTAGCTTAGTTTTAGCTCTAATTGGCTTTTAAAATTTAGTTTGGGCTCAGGAAAATTTAGAATTAGTTTTAGGGTGTCCGAATGATTGTTAGGTTCAGGTAGGGTTCAAAGGTCAGGGTAGGGTAGGGCATGGTTAGGGTTAGGATGGGTTAGTGGGTAGGGACTATTTGTTTTAGGTAGGGCTGTAGAAACCAACAATGAGGCGGTTCAGAACAAACCGCCAGCTGGTCGACCCCAAGGGCACGGGCTAGTTAGCAGGGCAACTGCAGGTTTAAGGGAGCCAAATTTAAGACTTTTTAAGACCTCTTTTGCTGCCATCTTCCGTGGCCGCATGTCCATGAAGGAGGTAGATGAGCAGATGCTGAACATGCAGGACAAGAACAGCAGCCATTTTGTTGAATGGATCCCAAACAACGTCAAGACCGCCGTCTGCGTCATCCCTCCCAGAGGTCTCAAGATGGCCGCCACATTAATCTGCAACAGCACCGCCATTCAAGAGCTGTTCAAGCGCATCTCTGAGCAGTTCACTGCCATGTTCAGGCGCAAGGCTTTCCTCTATTGGTACACAGGAGAAGGTATGGATGAGATGGAGTTCACAGAGGCTGAGAGCAACATGAATGATCTCGTGTCTGAGTACCAGCAGTACCAGGATGCTACTGCTGAAGAGGAGGGAGAGTTTGAAGAAGAGGGAGAGGAGGACCTGGCCTAAATTTGCTGTTATGAAGTTTAAATGTTTGTCGTACATTTCTGTTTTTCCAAGTTCTGATGTACGTGTTCCAGTTCTCATTTACTTTTCTATGGCGATGCCTCGGTAACGAAGCATAGTGCTCAAATGTTCATCGCTGTTTAGCAATGTCATGTTCTGAGGGCAGAATAAAGTTCTTAAGGTGCTTTTTTTGATCTTTAATGCTCACGTGCATTTACACCAGGGAAATATTTGGTTTTATGCTACACTGTAGATGGTCAACCTCTAAGCACGTCTTTGAGCTTCCCTCTGTCCTGCAACTTCTTGAATTTCGTATGGCACCCCCAAGTCTGTTCCTCTTTCCTTCTGACCAGCTCCACCGTCTGTGAGCTTCTGATTGTCCTTTATACTGGCCCCTCCTTTTATAGGCTCAATTCACCGTATACCGGTTTTTCTCTTTTTTAGCTTAGTTTTAGCTCTAATTGGCTTTTAAAATTTAGTTTGGGCTCAGGAAAATTTAGAATTAGTTTTAGGGTGTCCGAATGATTGTTAGGTTCAGGTAGGGTTCAAAGGTCAGGGTAGGGTAGGGCATGGTTAGGGTTAGGATGGGTTAGTGGGTAGGGACTATTTGTTTTAGGTAGGGCTGTAGAAACCAACAATGAGGCGGTTCAGAACAAACCGCCAGCTGGTCGACCCCAAGGGCACGGGCTAGTTAGCAGGGCAACTGCAGGTTTAAGGGAGCCAAATTTAAGACTTTTTAAGACCTCTTTTGCTGCCATCTTCCGTGGCCGCATGTCCATGAAGGAGGTAGATGAGCAGATGCTGAACATGCAGGACAAGAACAGCAGCCATTTTGTTGAATGGATCCCAAACAACGTCAAGACCGCCGTCTGCGTCATCCCTCCCAGAGGTCTCAAGATGGCCGCCACATTAATCTGCAACAGCACCGCCATTCAAGAGCTGTTCAAGCGCATCTCTGAGCAGTTCACTGCCATGTTCAGGCGCAAGGCTTTCCTCTATTGGTACACAGGAGAAGGTATGGATGAGATGGAGTTCACAGAGGCTGAGAGCAACATGAATGATCTCGTGTCTGAGTACCAGCAGTACCAGGATGCTACTGCTGAAGAGGAGGGAGAGTTTGAAGAAGAGGGAGAGGAGGACCTGGCCTAAATTTGCTGTTATGAAGTTTAAATGTTTGTCGTACATTTCTGTTTTTCCAAGTTCTGATGTACGTGTTCCAGTTCTCATTTACTTTTCTATGGCGATGCCTCGGTAACGAAGCATAGTGCTCAAATGTTCATCGCTGTTTAGCAATGTCATGTTCTGAGGGCAGAATAAAGTTCTTAAGGTGCTTTTTTTGATCTTTAATGCTCACGTGCATTTACACCAGGGAAATATTTGGTTTTATGCTACACTGTAGATGGTCAACCTCTAAGCACGTCTTTGAGCTTCCCTCTGTCCTGCAACTTCTTGAATTTCGTATGGCACCCCCAAGTCTGTTCCTCTTTCCTTCTGACCAGCTCCACCGTCTGTGAGCTTCTGATTGTCCTTTATACTGGCCCCTCCTTTTATAGGCTCAATTCACCGTATACCGGTTTTTCTCTTTTTTAGCTTAGTTTTAGCTCTAATTGGCTTTTAAAATTTAGTTTGGGCTCAGGAAAATTTAGAATTAGTTTTAGGGTGTCCGAATGATTGTTAGGTTCAGGTAGGGTTCAAAGGTCAGGGTAGGGTAGGGCATGGTTAGGGTTAGGATGGGTTAGTGGGTAGGGACTATTTGTTTTAGGTAGGGCTGTAGAAACCAACAATGAGGCGGTTCAGAACAAACCGCCAGCTGGTCGACCCCAAGGGCACGGGCTAGTTAGCAGGGCAACTGCAGGTTTAAGGGAGCCAAATTTAAGACTTTTTAAGACCTCTTTTGCTGCCATCTTCCGTGGCCGCATGTCCATGAAGGAGGTAGATGAGCAGATGCTGAACATGCAGGACAAGAACAGCAGCCATTTTGTTGAATGGATCCCAAACAACGTCAAGACCGCCGTCTGCGTCATCCCTCCCAGAGGTCTCAAGATGGCCGCCACATTCATCTGCAACAGCACCGCCATTCAAGAGCTGTTCAAGCGCATCTCTGAGCAGTTCACTGCCATGTTCAGGCGCAAGGCTTTCCTCTATTGGTACACAGGAGAAGGTATGGATGAGATGGAGTTCACAGAGGCTGAGAGCAACATGAATGATCTCGTGTCTGAGTACCAGCAGTACCAGGATGCTACTGCTGAAGAGGAGGGAGAGTTTGAAGAAGAGGGAGAGGAGGACCTGGCCTAAATTTGCTGTTATGAAGTTTAAATGTTTGTCGTACATTTCTGTTTTTCCAAGTTCTGATGTACGTGTTCCAGTTCTCATTTACTTTTCTATGGCGATGCCTCGGTAACGAAGCATAGTGCTCAAATGTTCATCGCTGTTTAGCAATGTCATGTTCTGAGGGCAGAATAAAGTTCTTAAGGTGCTTTTTTTGATCTTTAATGCTCACGTGCATTTACACCAGGGAAATATTTGGTTTTATGCTACACTGTAGATGGTCAACCTCTAAGCACGTCTTTGAGCTTCCCTCTGTCCTGCAACTTCTTGAATTTCGTATGGCACCCCCAAGTCTGTTCCTCTTTCCTTCTGACCAGCTCCACCGTCTTTGAGCTTCTGATTGTCCTTTATACTGGCCCCTCCTTTTATAGGCTCAATTCACCGTATACCGGTTTTTCTCTTTTTTAGCTTAGTTTTAGCTCTAATTGGCTTTTAAAATTTAGTTTGGGCTCAGGAAAATTTAGAATTAGTTTTAGGGTGTCCGAATGATTGTTAGGATCAGGTAGGGTTCAAAGGTCAGGGTACGGTAGGGCATGGTTAGGGTTAGGATGGGTTAGTGGGTAGGGACTATTTGTTTTAGGTAGGGCTGTAGAAACCAACAATGAGGCGGTTCAGAACAAACCGCCAGCTGGTCGACCCCAAGGGCACGGGCTAGTTAGCAGGGCAACTGCAGGTTTAAGGGAGCCAAATTTAAGACTTTTTAAGACCTCTTTTGCTGCCATCTTCCGTGGCCGCATGTCCATGAAGGAGGTAGATGAGCAGATGCTGAACATGCAGGACAAGAACAGCAGCCATTTTGTTGAATGGATCCCAAACAACGTCAAGACCGCCGTCTGCGTCATCCCTCCCAGAGGTCTCAAGATGGCCGCCACATTAATCTGCAACAGCACCGCCATTCAAGAGCTGTTCAAGCGCATCTCTGAGCAGTTCACTGCCATGTTCAGGCGCAAGGCTTTCCTCTATTGGTACACAGGAGAAGGTATGGATGAGATGGAGTTCACAGAGGCTGAGAGCAACATGAATGATCTCGTGTCTGAGTACCAGCAGTACCAGGATGCTACTGCTGAAGAGGAGGGAGAGTTTGAAGAGGAGGGAGAGGAGGACCTGGCCTAAATTTGCTGTTATGAAGTTTAAATGTTTGTCGTACATTTCTGTTTTTCCAAGTTCTGATGTACATGTTCCAGTTCTCATTTACTTTTCTATGGCGATGCCTCGGTAACGAAGCATAGTGCTCAAATGTTCATCGCTGTTTAGCAATGTCATGTTCTGAGGGCTGAATAAAGTTCTCAAGGTGCTTTGTTTGATCTTTAATGCTCACGTGCATTTACACCAGGGAAATATTTGGTTTTATGCTACACTGTAGATGGTCAACCTCTAAGCACGTCTTTGAGCTTCCCATTGTCCTGCAACTTCTTGAATTTCGTATGGCACCCCCAAGTCTGTTCCTCTTTCCTTCTGACCAGCTCCACCGTCTGTGAGCTTCTGATTGTCCTTTATACTGGCCCCTCCTTTTATAGGCTCAATTCACCGTATACCGGTTTTTCTCTTTTTTAGCTTAGTTTTAGCTCTAATTGGCTTTTAAAATTTAGTTTGGGCTCAGGAAAATTTAGAATTAGTTTTAGGGTGTCCGAATGATTGTTAGGTTCAGGTAGGGTTCAAAGGTCAGGGTAGGGTAGGGCATGGTTAGGGTTAGGATGGGTTAGTGGGTAGGGACTATTTGTTTTAGGTAGGGCTATAGAAACCAACAATGAGGCGGTTCAGAACAAACCGCCAGCTGGTCGACCCCAAGGGCACGGGCTAGTTAGGAACTATTATTGGAGGAACGGTCGCCACCGAAGGTGGTGACCTTCCTAGGTGCACTGTCCATCGAGGGGACTCCCACGTCTGACGGCTGTCCCTTCCCACCCCACATGTCAGTAACCACAAGCCCAACATTATTTTAGAGTTCCCCATTCTTTCTCCACTTTTGCTTTCTTAAGCTTTTGTAGTCACCCCTCAGATAACTTTAATGAAGCATTTCGACTCCTTTCGGTCTTCATCATGTCTCTAGTTTCTACCCTGGTTTTTCTCTGCTTGCTGCTCTTTGCTTCTCTGTATTCTCAGCATCCTTTGTGCTTTTCTGTCTGTTCTTTGAGCTTCCCATTGTCCTGCAACTTCTTGAATTTCGTATGGCACCCCCAAGTCTGTTCCTCTTTCCTTCTGACCAGCTCCACCGTCTGTGAGCTTCTGATTGTCCTTTATACTGGCCCCTCCTTTTATAGGCTCAATTCACCGTATACCGGTTTTTCTCTTTTTTAGCTTAGTTTTAGCTCTAATTGGCTTTTAAAATTTAGTTTGGGCTCAGGAAAATTTAGAATTAGTTTTAGGGTGTCCGAATGATTGTTAGGTTCAGGTAGGGTTCAAAGGTCAGGGTAGGGTAGGGCATGGTTAGGGTTAGGATGGGTTAGTGGGTAGGGACTATTTGTTTTAGGTAGGGCTGTAGAAACCAACAATGAGGCGGTTCAGAACAAACCGCCAGCTGGTCGACCCCAAGGGCACGGGCTAGTTAGGAACTATTATTGGAGGAACGGTCGCCACCGAAGGTGGTGACCTTCCTAGGTGCACTGTCCATCGAGGGGACTCCCACGTCTGACGGCTGTCCCTTCCCACCCCACATGTCAGTAACCACAAGCCCAACATTATTTTAGAGTTCCCCATTCTTTCTCCACTTTTGCTTTCTTAAGCTTTTGTAGTCACCCCTCAGATAACTTTAATGAAGCATTTCGACTCCTTTCGGTCTTCATCATGTCTCTAGTTTCTACCCTGGTTTTTCTCTGCTTGCTGCTCTTTGCTTCTCTGTATTCTCAGCATCCTTTGTGCTTTTCTGTCTGTTCTTTGAGCTTCCCTCTGTCCTGCAACTTCTTGAATTTCGTATGGCACCCCCAAGTCTGTTCCTCTTTCCTTCTGACCAGCTCCACCGTCTGTGAGCTTCTGATTGTCCTTTATACTGGCCCCTCCTTTTATAGGCTCAATTCACCGTATACCGGTTTTTCTCTTTTTTAGCTTAGTTTTAGCTCTAATTGGCTTTTAAAATTTAGTTTGGGCTCAGGAAAATTTAGAATTAGTTTTAGGGTGTCCGAATGATTGTTAGGTTCAGGTAGGGTTCAAAGGTCAGGGTAGGGTAGGGCATGGTTAGGGTTAGGATGGGTTAGTGGGTAGGGACTATTTGTTTTAGGTAGGGCTGTAGAAACCAACAATGAGGCGGTTCAGAACAAACCGCCAGCTGGTCGACCCCAAGGGCACGGGCTAGTTAGCAGGGCAACTGCAGGTTTAAGGGAGCCAAATTTAAGACTTTTTAAGACCTCTTTTGCTGCCATCTTCCGTGGCCGCATGTCCATGAAGGAGGTAGATGAGCAGATGCTGAACATGCAGGACAAGAACAGCAGCCATTTTGTTGAATGGATCCCAAACAACGTCAAGACCGCCGTCTGCGTCATCCCTCCCAGAGGTCTCAAGATGGCCGCCACATTAATCTGCAACAGCACCGCCATTCAAGAGCTGTTCAAGCGCATCTCTGAGCAGTTCACTGCCATGTTCAGGCGCAAGGCTTTCCTCTATTGGTACACAGGAGAAGGTATGGATGAGATGGAGTTCACAGAGGCTGAGAGCAACATGAATGATCTCGTGTCTGAGTACCAGCAGTACCAGGATGCTACTGCTGAAGAGGAGGGAGAGTTTGAAGAGGAGGGAGAGGAGGACCTGGCCTAAATTTGCTGTTATGAAGTTTAAATGTTTGTCGTACATTTCTGTTTTTCCAAGTTCTGATGTACGTGTTCCAGTTCTCATTTACTTTTCTATGGCGATGCCTGGGTAATGAAGCATAGTGCTCAAATGTTCATCGCTGTTTAGCAATGTCATGTTCTGAGGGCAGAATAAAGTTCTTAAGGTGCTTTGTTTGATCTTTAATGCTCACGTGCATTTACACCAGGGAAATATTTGGTTTTATGCTACACTGTAGATGGTCAACCTCTAAGCACGTCTTTGAGCTTCCCATTGTCCTGCAACTTCTTGAATTTCGTATGGCACCCCCAAGTCTGTTCCTCTTTCCTTCTGACCAGCTCCACCGTCTGTGAGCTTCTGATTGTCCTTTATACTGGCCCCTCCTTTTATAGGCTCAATTCACCGTATACCGGTTTTTCTCTTTTTTAGCTTAGTTTTAGCTCTAATTGGCTTTTAAAATTTAGTTTGGGCTCAGGAAAATTTAGAATTAGTTTTAGGGTGTCCGAATGATTGTTAGGATCAGGTAGGGTTCAAAGGTCAGGGTAGGGTAGGGCATGGTTAGGGTTAGGATGGGTTAGTGGGTAGGGACTATTTGTTTTAGGTAGGGCTGTAGAAACCAACAATGAGGCGGTTCAGAACAAACCGCCAGCTGGTCGACCCCAAGGGCACGGGCTAGTTAGCAGGGCAACGGCAGGTTTAAGGGAGCCAAATTTAAGACTTTTTAAGACCTTTTTTAAGGCCACTTTGACCAAATTTAAGCTATTTTTAAAAATTTCATTTCTGCTATAATTTTCAGCTATTGCCTGGAACCGGTGCTAACCACGTCGCGAACGTGGGATTAACCATCCATTTACCATTAAACTTGCACTTCCCCATGGCGCAAGCTTCCACTAGCTTATGTTCTAGTGGGTTTTTGTGCTCATCTAAAAATAGCCCCCTTCACAACCAACTGAATGTGAACGGTTCCGCTTACGCCAACATCATACACAAAAAATGCTGAACACTAACTAGAAATTCACGAAAATGTCATAGATATAAAATAATCTAGTTTATTGGGTCTTTGGTGATTTAAGACCTCTGGAAACCGTATTTAAGGATTATTTGTCACTTTGAAGGATTTTCAAGGCCTTAAATTTGGAAAAGCAAATTTAAGACTTTTTGAGACTTTTTAAGGACCCGCGGATACCCTGATTGAAATCGTGTCAAGGTGCTGTAGGAGAGTGTACTAGCACCGTGTCCTCAGAGAGATTAGTTATTAATTATCAGCGTGAGGAACTTATTTCTACCTTATTATAAACTATGTATTTACAAGTCCATCAGTTAATGTAATAATTGTCCCAACCACAGCTGCACCCCCCACCCCCCGACCTGCTCTCACAGCAAACGGGGCAAGCTGCACGTGTGTTTAGCATGCGCACATTTAGCCGTTTTTAGCGGCTCAGAAGTTCACAGGTGCGGTGTGTGTGTGTCACTCACTCTGGTTAATCCAACATGGAGCATTTAGCGACTGACACATCACTACATCATTCCCTTTCCTAATGTCCTGAAGAACGGTCCGGAGCGCAGGCGGAGTGTTTAGCTAACCTGCAGGAAACGTCGACGACAGTTATCCAGAAAGTAGCTAAGGGTTACCAGAGATGTTTCTGAGGTGTTTGCTAGGTACTTTTAAGATTTAAAAAGTCAAGAAGGCCTGAAAAGCTTTTGGAAATAGTGAGTTGGCAACACTGTAAGCAGCGCTTCATTTGCAACTCAGGGCAGCGCAAGTGGGAGGAGCAAATATTCGGCTTGTTTTGTTTTTTATAATTGTTCAAAACTCAGATCGTAATCGTGATTAAAATTTGATTAATTGAGCAGCCCTATATGTATTTACATTATATATGTATTTTATTTTTTACATCTTTTCCCCTTCATATCATGGATGGTGGAGCCCAAGCTTCTATGGATAAGCTGCAGTGTTGCCTTGCAGCAAGAAGGTCCAAATCCCAAATCTGGGTTTTTTCTGCATGAAATTTGCATGTTTTCCCCATTTATGGGTTCCTTCTAGGTACTCCAGCTTCCTCCCACAGTCAAAATATTATGGTCAAGTTATTTGGTGTCTCTAAATTATCCTTAGATGTGAGTGTGTGTGCATGGTTGTTTGTCCTTGTGTCTGTGTTGCCCTGCAATGGACTAGTGACCTGTCTAGCGTGTACCCTGCCTGCTGGAGCTAGGCATCAGCCCCCAGCCAAAAAGCGAGTATAGATGATAGATGGATGAAGAAAAGGCTTTTCAAAAAAGTTATAATATTTAATTTTTTTGTGTTATAGGTGGTGAACAGAAGGAGTCATTGAGGAGCTTTCTGGGTAGAGGTGCTGCCACAAGGTGGATCTGGAACTACAAAGAAGGCATTTGGGAAGCAAGAGTTGTTTGCAGAAAGTGGCCTTATTCTTTCTTCAAAATGTCTGGCTGCAATCCACTCTGAGGCAAGGAAGGACTGCCTCCGCTTATTCCATCTTCTTTTTGATGAGTTCTTCAGTCCAGAAGATTGCCAACATGCAGTGGTGTTTGGAAAACATGGAAAAGTGCCGGAAGGGAAGAGGGTCCTGGACAGTCCAGAGTCAATGGGATTTTGTGAGTGCTGCATTTTTTCCTTAGTGTGATTACTGATTGACCTTTCTAAAGTTTAGATTTGTAGCGTTTTGTTATCAAATTTCCATACTCAGATGTGTAATGAATGGAATCAATAGTCATTAAAACATGATATTTTAGGTAGTTAAAATGTGTCATTCAGAAAACTATGCCTACTAAATCACACTAGGCCATAACTCAGGGCAACTAATTTCAAATGAAAAATCAAATCTTTAAGTGTATGTGTGGAAAGTGGATTTATTATTTATGCTTTACTTTTTTCTTTTAGCTTACGTCATGCGATGTGGGACTCTGGATGGATGGACACCGGTTGAGAAAACCAAGGTTAAAAAGGCACTGATAAACAAATGTTGCATGAGAGCCAAAAATACTTAAACGTGGCACAATGGACTCATAAGGGCTGAAAATCTGTAAGTTGTTCAATGTTTTTCATTCTCATGCAGCTGTGCTGAGAGCTGTTCAATGACTGTTGGTAAAGTTGCACTTATACGAGGCATATGTGCTCAGATGTTCAGGTTCTGTAAATGTTCTATGCACAGGAATATATTCAAGCCATTTTGAGAGCTTATAGAAATGCTATGTAACACAACAATTATTAGAAAAATAACATTTGATTGTCAGTTTTGTTAGGCTGCCTTTGCAGTCTTTTGCTTTTTGAGAGCTCACCTCTGGGAAGTTTTTTTGTTTTTTGAAAACTGCAGTTAAGCGTCTGGCATTTCTAATAAATGAAGTTTGTTTTTTGGAATTTTGTTTTATTCTTTGCGTTTCAGACAGATGGACGGACGGACGGATGGAATAATTGAGCCACAAATGAGACGTATATGTATATCTCTTCTGAAGCTCTATCATTGCTCCTTGGCCTCAGGGATGCAATTAAGGAGCCATAACAAGGTTCAAGAGAAGTTCTCTAAGATGTCTTTATAATGTCTCAAATATGACTCCTATACCTTACTTTATGTCTCACTCTATTTCTCTTAGTGAATTTTAGGAGAAATAGAAGAGAAAACAAGAGGCCTTCGCAGCGCTTTCGCTGCTCGGGCCTAATAACAAAACTGAAATAAGACTGGCGTGAGAGTCAAATCTTTGTCTCCTGAGCTTAAGAAAAGACAGTGTAACACTCTGGATGAGCTGAATGTTACTCTACTCGAGGGTCATGGGTGGAGAGAGAGAGAGAAAGAGAGAGAGAGAGAGAGAGAGAGAGAGAGAGAGAGAGAGAGAGATCGAAGAAACAACACGGGGAAACGTCTTCTTCAGAGCTGCAGCCATAACTTTATTAACTGTTATTTCTTTTCTCCCCGCTAACTCTCCACTGACCGAACAGCACCCTCTCTCGGGTGTATCACTCCGCCAGAGACACTCACCAGACACAAACAATATCAAACAATAAATTTCATCCTACACTCTTCCCTCTCTTTAAATGAAATTTCCTCATTTCAGTCCTTTCCAAACAAGGCATGCAACCGTGACATCAGAACTTTTTTATTTTTTCAACTCAATACCAGGGTTTCACAGCATCAAACGCTTTGGCCTGCAAACCACACGACCTGAACGAGTCGCGCATGACCCTTGCTGTGCCTGCACCACAGGAGCGGACTGTGCCTCCGAGGGTCCGCATTGTACAGATGGGTGAGGAGGAGCCACACCCTGCCCCAGGTCAGGATGTCCAAAGTGTAGGGGAAGGGAACCTGACAATGCAGTATACCGTGGAACACTGTACACAGGTTGTAAACCTTCAGGCCGATCGATGTATGTGTCTGATCCCTTCCAAGTAGATCGGTATGGTTTTAGGCGATCATAGTGAATGACTTTAAGGTCAGGCCCAGGTCGCCTCAAATCCAGTAGCCTGTCCATCATTGTCTGAGGAAATGACCTGATGAGGCCCCATCCAGTTTGGTTCCAGTTTCTTTCTCTGTGCTGTAGGATCGCCCATCCACACGAGATCACCACATTCATATGGCTTGAATCTCGTATGTCTGTCATAATAATACTCATGCCTGAGCCTCTGGTCCTCTCCATGAAAATGAAGGGCCTTGAATGCCACATCCAGACGACTCACCAGCTCTGCACCGTAGTTCTGAGGAATCAGTTGTAAACCCGGTGTAGACAGAGACACAGCGGCCGGTAGACGGGGTTCCCGACCGTGGACAAGAAAGTAAGGGGAATAACCAGTGCTTGAATGAGGGGTGGAATTAAAGGAGAGAACCACAGCTGGCAAGAAGTGATCCCATTCACCACCAAACTGGTGAATGAGTTTCGCTAGCTGTTCCTATAATGTCCTATTAAACCGCTCAACCATCCCATTTCCATGAGGATGATATGGTGAGGTTCTTTTCTTGATCTGAAGCCTTTTGCAGACTGCCTGCATAGTTTCAGATTCAAACTGCCATCCCTGATATGAAAACAGCTCTTCCGGAACCCCATGCTCAGGAATGAAACGGTCACACAGGAGCTCTGCAACGGCCTGTGCTCTCTGATCCTGCATTGGAAACGCATTCAGATATTTTGTAAAATGATCCTGCACTACCAGTATATATCTGTTCCCCTTCGAGGTGAGGGGCAGTTCAGTGATGTCTGTGCATACAAACTGGAAAGGCCTGTGTGCCTGTATGGACTGTAGGGGGGCCCTGTTCTGTGGAACTGGTTTCCTATAAGCTTCACATGTGGGGGCATACAGAGCAAAACTGGTCAATATCAGATCTCATACTTGTTTATGTTTATGTTTGTTTATGTATTTAGCAGACGCTTTTGTCCAAAGCGACTTACAAGTGATAATTGGCATATTGCCCTTGAGGCCAACAACAACAATAACAACAACAACTTGACATCAGTCATAGAGAGTAGGGAACAAGGAGTGGACAGTAGAGAGGGGGGAAGGGTGCAGGGAGGGTGCTAGTTAAGAAGATGCTCTCTGAAGAGCAGGCTCTTCAGGAGTTTCTTGAAAATTGAAAAGGAAGCCCCTGTTCTGGTAGTGCTTGGAAGGTCATTCCACATTTGTGGAACGATGCATGAGAAGAGTCTGGATTGTCCTGAGCGTGGTGTAGGCACTGTTGGGTATTTTTATAAATGTACCTTTTTGAGACCTAAAAGATGCCCATTACACATCATGAATCTCTGTGTTGGCTGTTCATAAAAAGGTTGAGCAAGGATGTTAATTGAGAAACCCCTGTACCTCTGTAACTTGAGAAGGTCCGCCTTCTCCCCCATCCATTTGGTGAATAAAGCCCCTGAAGAACTGGGAGCACACAGGAGTGACGTGGGGAAGCCTTGGAGGAGGTTTCTCTGCGTTAACTCTCCGTGTTCTGGAGACTCAGGGTAAAATGTCTTCCTTGTTGTCATGTGTGTTATTACAGGTTCCAGGGTTATGGAGATTAAATATTACCTAACATTCTAGTCTCCTGATGGAGACCACGGGTATGCAGAGCTGGTGATGTAAAGGCTGAGGCTGGAGCAGAGTGGGGGCTGGTTGAGCCACACACATGGACATGGGGGCTGGTGGAGTCATGCACATGGACATTACAAATAATCAATTTACTCTCTCTCTCTCTATCAAAGGGTGTGTCGTCCTTTAAGGTAATATGGGATGAAATCAAATTACCTAACAGGCACTGCTAGCCGGCGATCCTGTGATGACCGGAGCGGCCGGGCCGAGACGTAAGCCTTTGCAAGAGGATTCAGGTAGATGGGAGCCGTACCATCTCGGACTTTGTATGCTAGTGTTAGCAATTTGAATTTGATGCGTGCTGCTAGCGGTAGCCAGTGGAGCTCAATGAACAGAGGGGTGACATGTGCTCTTTTTGGCTGGTTGAAGACCAGATGCACCGCTGCGTTCTGGACCATTTGAAGAGGTCTCACAGTACAGGCTGGAAGACCAGTTAGAAGGGCATTGCAGTAATCGAGGCAGGAGATGACAGTAGATTGCACCAGGAGCTGGGTGGCATGTTGTGTTAGGTATGGTCTGATCTTTTGTATGTTATGGAAGCATCAGTACTGAGGATGAATGGCTGATGAAAGTTGGGAAAAGCCATAATAGGAGCATTGGTTCGTGCAGCTTTCAATGTTTGGAACGCAGCCGAACATTCATCAGTCCAGTCGAATGCCACACACGGGCCACAGAGACCTTATCACTAGCCACGTTTACATGCACCAAATTCCCCCAATATGATACAAATCCTGGTTGATCGGAAGTCCAGAATCTTTCCATGGAAACCAACTGAAACGATCCAATCATGCCATGAGTTTATATGCACCAAGTATCCAATCAGATTAAACAGGATGAGCAAGCGCAGAGTTTTCCTTCCCCAAAAAAATGTAAACAAACGGTATGAAACTAAAAGAAAAATGTAAAAACAGAAAAAAACAACAATTCTTCCTGCTTTCTTGATTCATTTCATCTATTTAATGATTTTATTTTGCTCCCAGAAGTTATGTTTTCTTCTGTGAATACCTGCAGATTTATGCTTTTCTGCATTTTATTATTGACAATATTAAAATAAGGGAGGGTTATATATTTTTATTTTACTTCCTCAAAACGCAAGTTCTGGATTAGATATGACAGAAACGGGACGCTCGCCATCGTATTTAAGAGCCGGCGCTCGTTAATGAGGCGTCATTTATTTAGTCAGGCATCTAAATGAGACGGGGAGGCTCGCTGGCTGCTGCTCACACGTGCAGCGGGCGTTATTTTACTCCTGTGCTGTGTACATGCACATCCATCGGAATGATGATCGGACTAAACCACCTTTCTCAATCAGATTGAAATTTCCTTCAGGTCGGATCAGAATATTCCGACTGACGTGTTTACATGCAGAATTTTGATCTTACTGGGCATTCAACCTGATTAATTGTGCCCACGTAAACGTGGCTAGTGCCTGAAGCTGTGGGACATGAAAGGTTCTGGTACCATCCGGCTGGTTCTGACAGGCGGGTCGGATCTCAGGGCTTCAGACTTACTTCTCATTCGGACCAGGGAAGGGGGGCTGGAGGTCCGTCATGTTCTCGTCCTCTTCCTCAAGGTAGGAGTTGGTCCTCTGGCGGATTGCCATCTGCGTGCAGACGGTCTGACTGGCCGCGGGAGCCGGAGACACCTTGGTGATGCTGGAGGGGATCGGAGCGGGCTTCACCTGCACAGGACCCACAACGTTAGAATAAATCTGTCTGGCAAACAACAGACAAACAAACAAACAAGGGGGGGGGGGGGGGTGTTAAAAAATTATATGTGGGTTTCTGGAGCTCAGATCACCATCAGAACCAGGTCAGAACCGACCACCAGAAGAGAGCGGCTCAGCGGGCCAGCTGGTTTCTGGGCCGGAACCAGATCAGAACCGCCGCCTGAACCTTCAGGAGAGGATGCGTGGCTTTAAAAAATCCCAGCTGGACTGGCTCGCTGGTGTCTGGGTCGAATCCAGCTCACAGAAGACCGCACAAGCTCCAGAACCGGATGACAGGCATCTCTCTCCCTCTTTCCAAGCTAAACTAGGTTAGGTGAGCGGATATTAAAGAGTATGAGACCGTTGACAGATGCTCATTAGTATTAGTATTATATTAATTGAGCGATAGTACTTCAACTGTCTGGTACATGATAGTAATCTGTACTATACTGCGATGCTAGCACAGGAGTTTAAGCTAGCATGGTTAACTCAAGCTGCCACCCCCCCCACCCCCCACCCCCGGCTGCTTCTCCTCACATGGCAGCACAATCTCTGCTTTGGCCGATGGTTTCTCCCTCTGGTTTGTCTCTGCTCTCTGGGGCGTGCAGCAAACTCAGAACTTTATGGTTCTGGTCCATCAAAAGTGGAATTATAAATGTTTCCTCTGTGTCAGAGCCGCATTACAGTCCATTTTTCTCTGGATTAAGCCAACAGGACTCCCTCAGCTGACCTCACTTGGTTTGGTAAATAAAAAAAATTAAAAAAAAACTTTCTCACAACAATGACTCTAAAAGCCTAAATTATTTATGTTTGTATAGAAAATGTTTAAAACGAAGTTTCTCTAAAAATGGGTTCATGGGAGTCTGACCTGCAGTTTGCTCTTTAACATTTTCTTAAATTGTCTTGATCAGCTGTAACAGCTGCTGCATGGTCAGGGACCTGTGAGCCTACCTTCTCCCACTTCTGATTGGATGCCTTGTTGTAGTTGACCAGTCGGACGTTGGCCTCCTCAAAGGTCAGCTTGGATGGAAACTTGCTGACCTTGTTGCTCCTACCGACGAATTGCAGGATATCCTCCAGGATCATCTGCTCCTTCATCACCAGACCATTCTCAAAGATCAGAACGATGTACTTCTCATACATCCCTGCAGCCACCAAACCAGACACAAGTCACCACATCAAGTTCAAAGGTTATACCAGAGGAAAGGTGGCCTGGTTTAGGCCTCGCCCACTCCTACTTTGTGCAGGGGCCGGTTTCCATCTGGAGAGCTATGGGGTAGAAACCTCAGAGCAGAACCACAGGTCTGGTCCAGTTCTGGTCAGAGCTGAAGAGGCTGAAATCCTGATTCAAAAACTGTAAACTTTAATCCTGATTCCCACGTGTCCCCGATATTTTATTCACCAAAAGTGTTCTGGTATTTAGTTCTCGGGAACCCTCCTCCCTCACGGAGAGCGGTGGGACGGTTCGCTCCAGCAGCACCCCCCACTCCCGTTCTCAGGCTCCTCCTAAACTCAATGGGAAGTCCAGACAAACTCCTGAACCCTTCTGTCAGCGCTTCTCCTCAGGAACATCAGCACACAACGCTCTCCTCCACTGACTCAGAGATGTGGGAGACGGACTTAATGCGACATGACCGTTCAGACTGCAGTCGCTTTCAAACACATCAGAAATGTGTCAGAATCACGTATTAGAGAAGAAATCTGATGTGTGCTGGTCAGACAGACAGACAGGAAGGAAGGAAGAAGACTTTGCCGAGCACATTAATGCTGTGGGCAAGAACACCAAGTTCACCAGGGAGGATGTCCACAACCACCAACGGCCCTTCTTGGACTGTGCTGTGCTAACTGAACAGGATGGAAGTCTCAGCATTGAAGTCTACAGGAAACCAACTCACACAGACCAGTATCTGTTTTTTTCCCCAGAAGAAGCTACAATGATGTTCTGCTGAGCTGTAGTAGCCTCATGGATGGGGCCATCATCTAGTACACTGCTGCTAACCACTTAAACATTCTCCCTCTCCTGATAATAATTTCTTGCTTTCCTTGACGTTGGATGTGCTACTACTAGTTTACCCGTTTAATTATAGATCCGTCTTCGTCTTCCTCCGCTTATCCGGGTCCGGGTCGCGGGGGCAGCATCCCAATTAGGGAGCTCCAGGCCGTCCTCTCCCCGGCCTTGTCCACCAGCTCCTCCGGCAGGACCCCAAGGCGTTCCCGGACCAGATTGGAGATGTAACCTCTCCAACGTGTCCTGGGTCGACCCGGGGGCCTTCTGCCGGCAGGACATGCCCGAAACACCTCCCCGGGGAGGCGTCCAGGAGGCATCCTGACCAGATGCCCAAACCACCTCAACTGGCTCCTTTCGATCCGGAGGAGCAGCGGTTCTACTCCGAGTCCCTCCCGAATGTCCGAGCTCCTCACCCTATCTCTAAGGCTGAGCTCGGCCACCCTACGGAGGAAACTCATTTCGGCCGTTTGTATCCGCGATCTCGTTCTTTCGGTCATTACCCAAAGCTCATGACCATAGGTGAGGATTGGGACGTAGATAGACCGGTAAATCGAGAGCCTGGCTTTCTGGCTCAGCTCCCTCTTCCCCACGACAGATCGGCTCAGCGTCCGCATCACTGCAGACGCCGAACCAATCCGCCTGTCGATCTCCCGATCCCTCCTACCCTCACTCGTGAACAAGACCCCGAGATACTTAAACTCCTCCACTTGAGGTAGGACCTCTCCCCCGACCCGGAGGTGGCAAGCCACCCTTTTCCGGTCGAGAACCATGGTCTCAGATTTGGAGGTGCTGATCCTCATCCCAGCCGCTTCACATTCGGCCGCGAACCTACCCAGCAAGAGCTGAAGGTCAGAGCTGGATGAAGCTAGGAGGACCACATCATCCGCAAAAAGCAGAGACGAGATTCTCCTGCCACCAAACTCGACACACTCCACACCACGGCTGCGTCTAGAAATTCTGTCCATAAAAGTGATGAACAGAACCGGTGACAAAGGGCAGCCCTGGCGGAGTCCAACCCTCACTGGGAACAGGTCCGACTTACTACCGGCTATGCGGACCAAACTCACGCTCCTCTGGTAAAGGGACTGAATGGCCCTTAACAGAAAGCCACCCACCCCATACTCCTGGAGCGTCCCCCACAGGGTGCCCCTGGGGACACGGTCATAAGCCTTCTCCAAATCCACAAAGCACATGTGGATTGGTTGGGCAAACTCCCATGCCCCCTCCATCACCCTTGCAAGGGTATAGAGCTGGTCCACAGTTCCACGGCCAGGACGAAAACCACATTGCTCCTCCTCTATCTGAGATTCAACTATCGATCGGACCCTCCTCTCCAGTACCTTGGCGTAGACCTTTCCAGGGAGGCTGAGGAGTGTGATCCCCCTATAGTTGGAACACACCCTCAGGTCACCCTTCTTAAAGATGGGGACCACCACACCGGTCTGCCACTCCCTAGGAACTGCCCCCGATGACCACGCAATGTTGTAGAGACGTGTCAACCATGACAGCCCTACAACATCCATAGCCTTGAGATACCCAGGACGAACCTCATCCGCCCCCGGGGCTCCGCCGCTGTGTAGTTGTTTGACTACCTCAGCAACTTCTGCCCCCGAGATTGGACAGTCCATCCCCAGGCCTCCCAGCTCTGGTTCCTCCTCGGAATGCGCATTGGTGGGATTGAGGAGCTCCTCAAAGTATTCCTTCCACCGTCCGACTATAGCCTCAGTTGACGTCAGCAGCTCCCCATCCCCACTGTAAACAGTGTGAGCGAGTTGCTGTCTTCCTCTCCTGAGGCGCCGGACAGTTTGCCAGAACCTCTTTGGAGCCGATCGATAGTCTTTCTCCATGGCCTCACCAAACTCCTCCCACGCCCGAGATTTTGCCTCGGCAACTGCCACTGCTGCACCCCGCTTGGCTATCCGGTACCTGTCTGCTGCCTCCGGAGACCCACAGACCAGCCACGCCCTGTAGGCCTCCTTCTTCAGCCTTACGGCTCCCCGAACCTCTGGTGTCCACCAGCGGGTACGGGGGTTGCCACCACGACTGGCACCGGCCACCTTACGACCACAGCTAGCAACAGCCGCCTCGACAATCGCAGAGTGGAACAAGGCCCACTCGGACTCAATGTCCCCCACTGCTCTCGGGACGTGGTCAAAGCTCTGCCGGAGGTGGGAGTTGAAGACCGTCTTGACAGGTTCTTCTGCCAGGCGTTCCCAGCAGACCCTCACTATGCGTTTGGGTCTGCCAGGTCTACGCGGCATGTTCCCTTGCCATCTGATCCAACTCACCACCAGGTGGTGATCAGTTGACAGCTCCGCCCCTCTCTTCACTCGGGTGTCCAAAACATACGGCCGCAGGTCAGATGATACGACTACAAAATCTATCATCGACCTGTGACCTAGGCTGCCCTGGTACCAAGTGTACCGGTGGGCATCCTTATGTTCGAACATGGTGTTCGTTATGGCCAAACTGCGGCTTGCACAGAAGTCCAATAACTAAACACCGCTCGAGTTCAGATTAGGTGGGCCGTTCCTCCCAATCACACCCCTCCAGGTCAAGCTGTCATTGCCCACGTGAGCATTGAAGTCCCCCAGCAGGACAATGGAGTCCCCTGATGGAGCACTATCTAGCACTCGTCCCAGGGACTCCAAAAAGGGTGGGTACTCTGAACTGATATTTGGCCCATAAGCACAAACAACAGTCAGGACCCGTTCCCCGACCCGAAGGCGCAAGGAAGCTACCCTCTTGTCCCCCGGGGTAAACCCCAACACACAGGCAGAGAGTCTCGGGGCTAACAAAAAGCCAACCCCAGCCCTCCGCCTCTCACCCGGAGCAACTCCAGCAAAGTAGAGTGTCCAACCCCTCTCCAGGTCTCGGGTTCCAGAGCCAATGCAATGTGTCGAGGTGAGTCCGACTATATCTAGCCGGTACCGCTCAACCTCTGCCACAAGCTCCGGCTCCTTCCCTGCCAGCGAGGTGGCGTTCCATGTCCCAAAAACTAATTATAGATCCACTAGGATGAATACAATAAAGTTTATCTCTCACCAAATAGAATATTTACTAAGACATCACAATAGAACCATAGAAACACTACCTGGTGTGTGTGTGTGTGTGTGTGTGTGTGTGTGTGTGTGTGTGTGTGTGTGTGCTCTGTCTTCTCCATCCCCAGTGAGTCGTGGAGGATGGCTGCTTATACTGAGCCAGGATCCTCTGGAGGTTTCTTCTTGTTAAAAGGGAGTTTTCCTCTCCACTGTCGCTAAATGCTTGCTTAGTATGAGGATTGCTGTAAAGTCACTGACACTAGTCAGTGACTCGATGCATTTTGCTGGGTTCCTTATATACAGGGACGAAATTTTGATTTCAGAAGTGGGGGGGACACACCAGGCTTGTGCGGATTTGGGGTGGGGGTGTTATGTAAAGACCCTTTGACACGTCACATGCCCATCTCAATAATTTTTCCATCCTCAATATATATATATATATATATATATATATATATATATATATATATATATATATATATATATATCAAAGTTAAAAAATGTACAACTCTATTATCATTAATATTTATTATCATTATTGAAGTGCAGTTTTGGCTGTTGACAATGGATAGGCCATTGTATTTATTGTTTTGGGTCTTTTTTTATTGTTTTTGGTGCAACATTTTCTAACAGGGAGTGAGATTCTTTTTTTTATTTAATTTTTGTTTGTTATTTTTATTCATTTAGAAGTTCTGGTTCTGGACATTTCAATGTTAAATGAAGGTTTATTTGTTGCATTTTAAAGGGTGTACTTGCATTATTATGACATATTAACATTATATTAGTGGTTATTTTGGTCTAGATAATGTTGACAATGATATTGTTTATCATCAACAATTTTTTTGGACAAAATATCATCCAGCAAAATTTGTTACTTTCCCAGGCCTAGTCAAAAGTATAAAAAGTATTTATACATAAACGGTCCCTCCTGAGATCTGGCCGTTATTTCATTTGCTGTGTTAGAGGACATGCTGAACTAATGTTTTACACATGATCATCACCCTAACATTTGTCACAATGATCAATTTTATGTCTATCGTATCCTCATTATTTCAACCTCACCTGTGAGCCTCCAGCCTCTGCTCCATCTCCTCCAGGCTCTCGTCCTCCATCTCCTACAGCCTCTCCTGCTGTACCTTCACCGGTCTCTCCTCCTGCATCTCTGTCAGTCACCTGAAAAAAAGATGCATGAACTATAAACAGTGGGAGATTTTGATATGGAACAAACAGAAATATTTACAGGATGGTTCTAGTATGATTCACAATTATTATTAATATAATGTGTAAATTATTCATTACCAATTTGAGTGTATAAAAACATATTAAATATGTTTTTTCCCTTAAAAGTGTTTAAACAGTTGTTGCATTTCAACACACAAA